CGGGGCAGCATAGACTGCTGGTTGTTAAGCGAGTGGCTCGCTTGCAAAGGCTGCCTTGATGAAGTGTGAGACAGCACTTACGGAGGGACGCGGGCAGGCATTCTCGCTCCATCTTCCGCTCACAGTGCCGCTCTTTATGTGCCTGACATTTGCTCGCTGGAAAGGCCCCTGAAGTCAGGGGGAAAGGAAAACATTGCAGGCACCAGGGCCAGAACGGTGCTGGGAGGAGTGCCGTGCCGTGCCGTGCTGGGCCGGGCTGGGCTGGGCTGGGCTGAGCCGGCCTGGGATGCTCCTCTGTCCCGGCCCCACCACCCGCTCTTCCCCGGGGTGACCCCTTCACCTCTCAGCAGCTCTCCGGCTGCCTTCCCCTGCCGGCACCGCCACTTCCTCCAGGTGTGCTCAGCCTGGCTGCCTGCCTGCCTGTGCAGCCCTGGCCATCCTGCCCCTGCCTGCTCCAGGGCGGGCTGGCAGCACCGCCAGCGCTGCTGCTGCTGCTGCTGATGGTGCTGCCTGTGCTGCTGCTTCTGCTTCTGCTGCTGCTGCTTCTGCTGCTGCTGGTGGTGGTGCTGCTTGTTCCCTGGAAGTGTATGACGGGGGAATGGCGATGATGACAGAGTGAGCTCAGAGCTGGTCCTTTAGCCACCTGCTTCTGGAGTATGGAGTGTCCCAGCGACTGCTGCCGGCTTGGGAGGTTGCAAGTAGATCTAAGGGCTGGAGGAACTGGGAAAGGGCATCAGCGGTCAGTGTACAGCACCTTTGGGGTGCCTGGAGGTGGCTTTGTCCCCAGGGAGAGGGTCACTGCCCCATAACGAAGCTGGGGCAGGAAACTGGGCTGATGTGGCCTGTTTCATCCCAGGGAATAAGCACTCCCTTTCCTTGCCCTTGATACCTGCTGGAAGGGGACAGTTCAACCCTCTCTATCTGTGTTCTTGCAGACAGATCCTCTGCTGCTGGCAGAGGATGGGTGAGCATCTATCTGGATTCCAGAGGGGGCCTCTCCCTAGCCTGACATTGGCATAACCATGGGCAGAGATGTCCAGCACAGATCCAGCAAGCCATTCCATCCCCATTCCCAGGAGCATGCACAAAGCTTGTGGCAGGGTAGAGTGCCAAGGGCAGCCTGTGAATGCACCAGCCATGGAGCCCTTCCCCTGCCCACCATCGACTGCCACAGCAGCACCAGCCTTCATCCATGCCAGTGTGTCAGTGCCTGTGCCCAGTGCCAGAGAGCCACTCTGCCATTCCTGCTCTGTCACTCCACCACGCCGCTTCCATGGAGCCCACTGGTGGGGGCAGCCTGGGGAAGCCATCCTCCCCCTTGGCACACGCCCCTTGGCTCCAGCCCCAGCAGGAATTATTAAGTGTGCCCCTGTGGAGCATGTGCTGAGGCTGGCCACGGGAATGTGGGCAGATCTGACATACAAGCCACAGCAGCCAGGCTATAATTTCCAAACAGGCCCCATTCGCTCTGTTTTCCAGTTAAAAATATATTAAAAAATAGGAATGTGGGATTTGTAGTGAAGAATGTTGGTAACCGCTTCGAATGTCTGGTGTGATAATGAAAGGGTCAGTCCCCAGCTTTGAGCGTGACCGATTTAGACTCTGGTGCTTGGCAGTGCTGCGGGGGCCCAGCATGATCCAGCCTGCCTGCAAACCCATCCTGGGCCAGGCAAAGGTGATGCTTCTGTGCTCGAGGCATGGTGCTGTGCTGGGCAACGTGCCCCTTCTGCTCATACTGTCAAGAGACCATCCAAATTGCTGTCCCTTTTGGCCCCTTAAGACGGGAGTCTAGGCAGGGGGTGGGGAAATTCAGAATGCCTTGGAGATAGATTTTGTACCCTGCTGCATCTCTGCACTGGGGTGCAGCCCCATAGCTGCCCACTGGGTTGGGGGTCACTAAGTGGGGCTGCAGCCCAGCTCCCCCTGAGCTGCCCCTCCACACCGTGGGCTTGCTCTCAGTGTGATGCCAGGCACCTGCCCCCCTTTGGTGGGCACACTGCTCCCCCCTCTCCCCCAGCTGGCAGTTCAGGCTGTGCTGTGGAGTCTCCCGCAGCCTTGAGTCCCTCCTGATACTGGGGCAGCCCACTTGGCCTTGTGGTCAGGTAGTCATAACAGGCCCGACAAGCCATGCCAGCTGCCGAGGCATCGCTCCCTGGTGCCTGGGGAGTGGCGTGGAGCAGCCCAGCCAGCACTCCCCCGGCTGCCAGCTCTCTGCTGTGTGGCTCCCCGGACCTCAGACATCATGTTTATCCTGGAGATGGGTAATCAGGGAAAAACAAGTCACCAGAGGCCAGGGCTGATGTTGCAGTGGGGCCAAGCTGTCTGCAGCAGGCTTCAGCTTGGAATGGAGCAGTGGGGCAAGGAGGAAGGGGAAAACCAGCTGCAGCCAGGGCTTATCCCCCCATCCAGCCCTTTGGGGGACACTTCGTTGTCCCTCTCAGCCTTCAGGGCCATCAGGTGGCCGGTGGCTGGCACAGCATGCTCTGCTCCCTGCTGAGTCATAGCTGTGCAGGGAAACGCTTCCAGCTCTGGTTATAACCCATTTCCCTCCGGGGCTGTGAAGCGCAGCCTCCCAGTCCCGCTGCGGGCCAGCTCCGGCCACCCCATGGCCCTGAGCCCGCGGGCTGCAGCCGCCGGGAAGGGCAGCGGCAGGAAGTGGCTGCTGACTCCCAAATTCCACCCTGGGCCTGCTGGAGCTGAGCCCTTCCCGCAGGCGTGGGCAGCAGGTGCCCTGCACCTGCAGACCCCTGTGCCACCCCGGATGCCCAATGCCCCTGGTGGCGCTGGGCACCCTGCTTCCAGCGCCTCCCCACGGTGCCACATCAGTGGGGGGCTGTGTGCAGCTCTTGGGACACTGAGTGGCTGCAAGGATGGTTTTCCCCATCCCCAGGGACATCTGGGCAGCTCCGCTGGGGCTGAGCACTAGGTGAGCAGCTGCCCTGCCCAGATCCTTGCTTGAATGCTGTGAAGTGGAGCAGCCTGGGCAGCCCTGGGGTTTGGGGCACATCCCAGGTGCCCTCCTGAGTGGGTTGGAGCAGAGGGGATTGAGCAGCACCCTGCACCTGCAGGCACAGCCTGCCCCATTGCCCTGGCATTGCCCAGCCCCGTTGGTGGCAGGCAGAGGGGACGAGCACCCCGAGCAGTGGCACCCAGGGCTGGCTGGCTCTGCAGGGGACTCTCGTGCCCTCCTGGGGCACTGACCCACGCAGTGCTATCTAGTACACTTTGCTCACTTCACTGCCATTCCTAGCTTTCCTGGGAGCTGCTGTTTGTTTTTCTCTGAATTATGACTCCAGCTTGTGCCTTTGATCTGGGCTGTGTTGGCCACCCGTGACCAGGCCCTCTTCTGCCTTTGAAGTGCACTCACCTTCCCAGCCTTGGATGCTGCTTTTGGAGCCTTGGGTGCAGCCCTGGCTCTGGGGCGAGACACGCAGGGCAAGAGCATCCTTGGGGTGCCCGAGGTGCCCAGCATCCCTCCTCCTCCTCCCCTCTGGGACCTTGTGATGAGCCAGCACAGGTAACAGCTGGGAGGCTGGGCACTGAGGCATTGAGAGCTGTGCTGGCCCAGTACCAAGCAGTCCCAGGGATGCAGGTGGGATGCTGGTGGGATGCTGGCAGCAGAGCATCGCTCCCTCCAGTGGCAGTGGGCAGGGACAGAGGAGGTGACCTGCATAGCAGCTGGTCAAAAAGCCGATGCCAGTGCATTTCTTGCTGCCAAAGGGCCTTTCATGCCTGAGACTCCAGCAGAAGAGATGAGACCTGCATGGAAAGTGTCTGTCTGGGCAGCAGCCAACCCATCCTGGCATCAGCCCTATCCTGCCACCCAGTCTGGCAGGGAGCAGTGAGGAGGGCTCAGCCTACCTATCTGCCCCTGGGAAGCTGGGGTCAGGCTTTGGACTCTGGCCTTGAGTGGGTCTGAGCGTCCCCATCCCCTCCCCACTTTCCTGGCCAGAGAGGATCCTACCTTATCTGTTACACTTTGTTCTCCTGCTGTCTGGGCGTGGAGCAGGGCAGAGATTAGTGTGTTCAGACCTTTGGCACACACACACACACACACACACACACAGACAGAGGCACACAATCAGCCATGCATGCACCCACAGCCACGCTCATGTGCACACTCCTGCACTCACAGTCCCTGTGCACGTCATCATGGCACACTCACCTGCACTTGTAGGCCCACGCTGTGCCCCACCCCCCACCCCAGCACACTCTCCAGGGCACATACCCATTTCCCTTTCCCTGTGCATGTTTGTTTGAGCACTGTGAGCTATGTTATGTTCCCAGCGGAGTGTGGCACTTCCCCAGCCTGCCAAGATCTCTCATGTGCATGAGAGATCCTATTCTGCTGGCACCCCTATCCTGCTGGCAAGGGGTGCAGGCAGGAGGAGGGGGGCTTTCCATGTCAAGTCTGGAGGGAATAGAAGTGTGTGCAGGGAGGCAGGAGCTGTTCTGGCAGACTGGAAGCAAACCTGGGCATCCCTCATCTCACTGTCACATCATTTTCACTTTCTGTGGGGCCAGAAGAGATGCCTTGTGCTGGAGGCTGTGGTGGCAGGCAGAGACTACTTGTTCCTACCTCTTATTAGGTCATGTCCCTGCCTAAGGTTCACTGTCCATACTCACAGGCTGCAGCGCATTCTGCTCCAGGCAGGGCAGCCACGGCCCTTCCAGAGCCATCTTATCTCCAGCATTTCATGGATAACCCAAAAGCCTCTGCACAAGGCATCTGAATGGGAAGAGCAGGTGTGTGGAGGTGTGCACGTGTGTGTGTGTCTGTATGTCTGTGTGTCTGTCTGTCTGTGTATGTGCAGAGCTGGGAGCAGCCACATCCCACCCAGTGCCAGAGCTGCCTGTTCCCAAAACTCTGCTGCACTGCTGGGGTGAAACAGATGTAGCCTGACAGGCTACAGCCCCTCTGTGCCCCACAGCATCCCTGTGGCAGGGTGACCTGCAGGTGGTTTCCTGGCAGGTTGATGGTGTCTGTGCTTTTCCCACAGACCCTGCCCCGGATCTGCAGTGCGGGAGAAGGGCAGGCGTTTGCCTCTGCTCTGCAACAGCTCTACACTGCAGTGACACAGCAGGAGCTCAGGCAGGCTCGGAAACGCCATTGCTCTGGTGAGGAGCTCCCTGGCTGTGGATGGGGGTATGTGATGCAGCTGTCCCCTCAACTGCTGAGCCCCACATCCTGGGCTAAGGGAAGTGTGGTCCCGGGTACAGCTCACCCCATGCAACAGTGTCCCCTTTGCTCTCCCGCATGGGCTAGGCTCCCAATCCCAGCACAGCTCCTGGAGTGGGTTTGGGTAATGTCCCATGCTCCCTTATCTCAATCCCAAATTGCATCTTTTTCTGGTACCAGAGGATGACGTGGATAGAGCACCCACTGCAGAAACCATGAAGCACCCCCATTCACCTGCTGCATCCCAGGAGGATGAAACAACATCTTCCAGCGAGAGAACCTCGGTGAGTGCAGCTCTAGAAAGTCTCTCTGTACCAAAGGCAGGATGGGGCCCACATCTCCTTTCCCTCCTCTCATCCAAGCACTGTGCCTATCCAGGATGGGCTAGGAGTCTCAGCTTGGTTCCTAGCCCATTCTACCCCATCCATCCTGAGTGTGTGATTGCACATGTGTGTATATTTTGCACTCCCACGACACAGATGACAGGAATGTCACTGCTTGCACACTTGCACACATCCTGCATGACTCCCCAAGGTGGAACTGACACTGCCTCCTCTTTGTTTCCAGCCAGCCTCCTCTCCAGCTCAGAAGCCCCGGCTGCCTGCAGCCAAGGCCAAGCCAAAGAAGGCAAAAGGGCTCTTCAGCTGAAAGATTGCTGCCATCTCTGATGACGTCTCTGCTTCCCCCAGCATCCAAGAGAGGCAGTGCAGACAACCCATGCATTGACTGCTCTTCTCTGCATCTCCTCACGGGCCCTGCCCAGGTCATGGTCCTCTTCCATGATGTCTCCAGTTGGGGAGATGGAGCTCCTTTCTTCAACAGTGTTTCAGGAAGCACTCTTCCCTGGTGCAGAGTTTGCCCAGGCTTCCTCTCATGGCAGAACCACTGCTGGACCTGAGAGAAGTGGGAGGGATGCTGCCAGTGGGTGTGGGACAGCTGGGGCTCTGGCAGAGCTGTGGGGTTTGGCTGCTCTTGAGTGAGTTTTCAATAAAGGGCTGTGTCTGGGTGAGATTCCCTCTCCTGCTCTGTCCCACCAGGCCTGTAGTGTCCAGGAAGGGATGTAGCCTTTGGTGCTGCTGGGTCCCCCTCAGGCCAGTCCTGATGCCCCAGGGGCTTGCAGTGACTCTGGACAGTGAGGCAAGGGCAGCTCATTGCTGTGGCACAGCACACAGCTCCCAGCCATGCTCACCCTGAGCAGCAGTGTGTGTTGGGGTGTGCACCAGAGGATGCCCAGATCGTGGGGACACAGCTGAGGGGGCTGGACCCGTGTTCTTGTCCCATACCAGGATACACACCCTGTGTGCTGGTGCTGGCAAAGGCCCTGGATAGGCTGAGGGACACCCTGCATTTGCAGGCACCTCCACCACAGTTATTGGGCAGGTGATACTGGCTTGATCCTTGCTTTGACCTCCAAGGAGCTGGAGACAACCAGAACACTGACACACTGATTGCTGGGAGCAGCCCTGGAGCAGATTGCAGATGCTCCCTGGACACAAAACACTTCCATCCCTTCACACTCCATCCGTCCATCCATCCATCCATCCATCTATCCATCCATCCATCCATCCATCCATCCATCCATCCATCCATCCATTCATCCATCCATCCATCCATTCCTGCTCTCCTCTTCCAGTCCCTGGGTCCACATGCTTCCTTCAGGACTGGGACCCCCTTCCTGTGCCCAGGCCAAGTCTGAAGGCAGCAGGCAGAGAGCCAGGCAGCAGGCAGGCTGCAGCCAGGGGTGCTGCCCTCCTGGACTGCGACCATGCCCCCAGCTGCCCTGGTCCCTGGGGCTGGGCCAGCTGCAGCCATGCTGCCTGCTCTCCTGGGCAGCAAGGGGGAAACAAAAACATCCGGAGCAGTCCCTGTGTCTGTGGAGGGGAATGAAAGGGCCTTTGCTGGGCCACAGCCCACCAGTCCCAGTGCAACCAGTGGCTTTTTATATTTCCTTTCTGAGGGAGCAGCATGCAGGGCAGGGTGGGTGGTGGGAAGGGAAATCCATGGGATGGGGAGCTCGTGCCGACTGCCGTAGCTTATGTATCCTGCATTTTCCCATCTGCAAACATCTTATCTTGGCAGCTCTGAGTCTGCCTGGTGGGCACTTGCCCCCAGGGAGGGTCCTGCTGAAGGGTAGGACCAGGGCAGCAGGAGCTTAGCAGCTCAGCAGTTTCCTGTATCTTCTGGCACCTGGTTGTCCCTGGTGCAAGCCCTGCTCCATCCATATGCACTCCATCTCTGGTGCAGGAGCTGCTCTGTTGTGAGCCTCATCCCTCAGCTCTGTGCTGGCTCTGGGGTTTGTGCTGTTCCCCCATGTTCAGGAGGAGTGCTTATCACCCCAGGGAGGGCACCTGGCTTGTCTACCCCCTTTGGGTCTGAGGAGACATCACAGGGAGAGGCAGGGCTGAAACAATCCCAACCTGGCTATGGCCGTGGCTGGTGGACTCTGTAGGGGAGGAGTGGGTGGTGCAAACCAGCACCTGCATCCCTGGGTCATTCCTGTGAATTCCTGTGTCTCTGCTTCGCCCTGGGGTGCTCAGCTCAGGGGGAGCCAGTCCCAGGGATGCTGCAGAGAGGTTGCTCATGAGCCCTGTCCTGCTGCAAAGTCTCTGTAGGGTGTCCAGCAGCCCTAAAGACCTGCTGCAGGGACAGATCTTGTTCCATTCACCTCTCTCTCAAGGCAAGGGGAGGTGGGGATGTGGGAGCATGGATGGGGGGTAAATAAAAGCAGCAGAGGGAAGACAGTAGGAAAAAGAGCTTTGCCAATGTCCCCCAGGGAACCGCAGGGACCCTGGCCCTCAGGACTCCAGCATGGGGCCCCTGGTTGTTGCCAGCTCCCGGGAATGTCACTACACATTGTCCCACGCTGTCCTGCTGGGGTCTCCTTCACTGTCCCCACCCCCTCCTCCCTGGAGCCAGCTGGATTTGAGCTCCCGACACACATTAAAGGCCACAAGTTCGGCCTCGGCCTCCATAAATTTGATTCCATAAATATTAGTTTTCGCAGGGTTTAATGAAGCCGTTATGCTGGGCACGGCCCAGCACCCCGACCCGTGCCCTTAATAAGGGCTCTGTGGCCTCGATTAAAGGGACCTTTCAATCGCTGTCAAGTATTTTTAGAAAAGGAAAAGAAAAAAAAAAAAAGAGAGAGAGAGAGAGAGAGAGAGAAGAAGACGACCAAGGCAGCGAATAGGGAGAGGAAAATCCCAAACCCGTGCAGTGCAAAAATAGAGAAATAGCACCACCTA